CAACACTACAGCTCGGAAACGACCCGTTCTCCAAAAAAACCAATTTTAAAAATGGCTCGCCTTTTCGCTGTGAGTACAGAACAATTCCAATTTTTAACAGGCCCCCCTCAAAAATTCCCCAAAAAATCAAAGAAAAACTAAAGTACATTAACTACTATCAAAAGTAAGATATGAATACATTTTAAATGTAAAATTATATATTTTTTAATTACATGCTTTTGAAATTTCATAAATTTAATCTTCTTTTCAATTTTTAATAAAAGTGCTTAAAACAATTAATGTTAGGTTTCAAATTGCTTTCAAGATATCCATTTTTTACCTTTCTGATTTAATTTTTTTAAAATATTTTTTTAAATTTTTTTGTCCTGAACTAAAGGTAAAATGTTATGCAATAAATTTTATCAAAGCTTGTAAAAAAAAAAAATTAGTGGAAGTGTTCGAAGTGTTTATGTCGGTCGTGAGGAAGATTTTAGTGCGTTCCGTCCAGAATGTTAATCTCCGGCTATTTCCCGAAAGGACCGACATCGAGGAATCAGGGTAGAACAGTTACACCACGAACTTTCAAAGCGTCCCGTGACATAAGTGGCCCCGTTGCTCTCGTGTGCTCTAACCACCGGCAATGCTGATCCGCCCGTGAAAACGCATTTCGACGTGGAAACGCAGGAACTACTTTAAAAAGGGACCGATCGGACCTCAGCGACGAGGAAGAAGGAGCGATGGCCTGAAGATCACTGCCAAGGTCCACTCGCCCAGTTTATTGCCCCGATGGTCTTCGTGCTTCGCGACCCAAGTGCATCTCAAAAGTTGACGGTGCATCAGTGATTTTCGACAAAAGAGTGAAAGTGACGATTTACAAAGAGGATTATATCGTGTTTTGTGAAAGTACTTTTTTTTATTTTATTTTTTACTATTATTAACTTCCTTTGCTGGTTGCTCTCCCTCTGAGGCAACTTCATATGGGTAATACGGGATAGTATCAATTAAAGCAGTCGGGAAAAATTATGACTTTTGTAACCAGTCACGTTTCGCCATCTCTTTCACTCATCGCCTTAATTTCTCAAACTTCCGACTCTATTGTCGCTTAATAACGTTTTGATGGGCCGGATCGGACATCGCCACGGACGGAAGGGTTGGAAAATACAGAAGATTACTGAAACTTCGACCTTTCGGAATCGATTTGTCAGGAGGTGAATTTTCTAATCGACACAAAATCTTTAAGGCCCCCAACTTAAAGTGATTGACAATTTAATAACGTTGGTTTGGTTAACAATGGAAGTTACGAATATTAATTGCAAGTATGTTAGCCAAATCTGAGCCCAGATGCTATGGAAATTATAAAAAAGGAAAACCCCATTTTCTCCAATGGTGCACCAGATGAAACACGTAATTTCTTGAAGTGATACAAAAAAATCCATCTTCAAGTGAAAAACAAACAAATTTTTGCAGATAGATTAAAATATCAACTAGTTATATAAAGCTCTAAATTTCCTCAAAAATAGTGAACAACGTAATCAAATGTAAGACGGGTCCAAAAGTTTCAAAAGATCTCCAGACAGCAAGACGATCAGCTAGACGCATCCTTTGTTAAATAGCTTTCTAGTTACATCTAGTTGAACTAACAATTATTCATTATTGTCATTTTTAATTGTATTAAATGTTAAATGTTTTGAGATTTCATTATTTTTAATTTACAAAAATGTTTAACCAGGGAAACGGTTGCTTATTCCACTCTCATTAGCTAAATCTTATATATAGCTTTCTAGCTATGTCTAGTCAAACTAACATTTATTAAATGTTTGGAGATTTCATTATTTGTACTTGTTTTTAATGTTCAAAAATGTTTAACTAGGGAAAAAAAGGTTGCTTCTTCCACTGAAACTTTAGCTATATCTTACATATCGCTGTCTAGCTATATCTAATCAGACTAACATTTATTAATTATTTTTAATTGCATTAAATATTAAATGTTTGGAGATTTCATTGTTTGTAATTGTTTTTAATGTTCAAAAATGTTTAACCATGGAAAAAAGGTTGCTTCTTCCACTGAAACTTTAGCTATTTCTTATATGTAGCTATCTATCTATATGTAATCAGACTAACATTTATTAATTATTTTTAATTGCATTAAATATTAAATGTTTGAAGATTTTAATTAATTGTATGATATTAATTGGTCAAGCGGACCACGAAACTACTGAATTTAATAAGTTTGAAATGAAGTATCCTTCACTAGAGCTCTCCATGGCCATTTCATTTGTCGCCGAGAATCAAATTGATTACACGACATTTGAAAAATGGCAAAAAGGAGGGAAAATTCTAAAGGTGTGGTTGAGATGGGAGGTTGGTGTCCGAGTGGATCGAGGTCACGATAGCTCAAGTGGTAGAGCAGCGGCGTATCAAGCCGAAGATCGTGGGTTCGAATCCCGCTCGTGCCATTGACTTTTTTTATCTCAACTAAAAACCTTAATTAATTGTTTTTAATGTTCAAAAATGTTAACTACGGAAAACAGGTTGCTTCTTCCACTGAAACTTTAGCTATTTCTTATATATAGCTATCTATCTATATCTAATCAGACTAACATTTATTAATTATTTTTAATTGCTTTAAATATTAAATGTTTGGGGATTTCATTATTTTTTCTTGTTTTTAATGTTCAAAATGTTTAGCTAGGAAAAAAGGTTGCTTCTTCCACTGAGACTTTAGCTATATCTTATATATAGCTATGTAGCTATATCTAGTCAGACTAACATTTATTAATTATTTTTAATTACATTAAATATTAAATGTTTGGAGAGTTCATTACTTGCAATTGGTTTTAATGTTCAAAAATGTTTAACAAGGGAAAACAGGTTGCTTCTTCCACTGAAACTTTAGCTATATCTAATCACATTAACATTTATTAATTAGTTTTAATTGCATTAAATGTTTAGAGATTTCATTATTTGTACTTGGCTTTAATGTTCAAAAATGTTTAACAAGGGTTGCTTCTTCCACTATCATTAGCTGTATCTTACATATTGCTTTCTAGCTATGTCTAGTCAAACTAACATTTTTTATTTTTTATTGCATCAAATGTTAAATGTTTGGAAATATCTTTTTTTGTAATTGTTTTTAATGTACAAAACTGTTGAACGAGGAAAAATACGTTGGTTCTTTTACTTAATCATTTGGATTTCTTACACGATTTTGATAAATTAGTACTTGACTTACGAATTGAACATATAAATTGCAATTAATGGGCTTTATTATTCTGCTATAGATACTAATCTTGGCCCGGCTAGTCTTGCTGTTTACGTACTTTGCTTGAAAATGTGTTAAAACCAACGTTTTCCCCCTAATACACATACTATCAAAATACAAATATATTATTGATAGACAAAAATGATAATAAGATTATAATATTTGGTCCCCTTCATTTTTTTATTGTTAATTTAAGAAATTATTTAACAATATTGTGTTAGGATACGTTTTAGGTCTAATTTGAGAAAGGTAGTAGTAAGTATGGCCATGGATCAGATGTTTAATTCTTTGGTATTTCTTGTGCCGCTATTTAACTTGATTGTTGAAAGCTGATTATGAAATCTGACATAATTTATAAAAATTATCTTTAAACCGTGAAATTTTTTATTAAAGGACTTCCTATTTCTGGTATGCACTCGGGTGTGCTCAATCCTACTGATTACGCGTGTGGCTTGAAAATGTGTTAAAATCGACTTTTTCCCCAAAAACCAGATTATCAAAATTCAAATAAATTACTGCGGTCTAAAAAATATGTATTAAAATTTAGTACTTATATTTTTTGGTACCGTTCAATATTTTGTACTTTTAATATAATTAATTGTATGAATCGAAAGTATAATTCTTCTGTTAAAGATTTATGGGAGTCAGGGAGTTTTCTTGTCACTGGTGCTTTTTGGATCCGCCTAGTTTCGTTATTTTTATTTCATTCATTGTTCCACATCATGTTTGTTTTTAAGCAAATCTTTATAGAATCTTATTTCCTTTCTATCGACTCTCATAATCTTAGATCTACAATAACCGACTTCGTAAACGCTCGTAATTTTAAAACCGATTCAGCGACAAATAAAAGCCCGTTTTAAGTTGCGTCATCGAAAGGGAAGTAGGCAGTTTTTGAAAGCGCCGGACCACAGACCGCAAAGCACACTCGAAAATGCTTAGCCCCCTCCGGTCACAATAATCCGAAAAAGATTTGCGATGAATTTTTCACGCAATACTCGCACTTCCTCCAGTGGAGAAACGCGATTGGGAAACAGCTAAATCCCGACGAAGGACTGCCTGGCCGGCTACTATCATTGTCCAGTTTCGTAAATGCAAAAACCTCAATATTTACCTTGGAATCCTGTCTGTTTGGAATTACATAGCCTATCTTATTTCCATCATTAAAAAAACTATTGCTCAAAACGGCGATTGTCAATGATAAAATTGCACCCCAGTATATGATCACTTTTGATAATCGCTGTAAAACCCGTACGAACCAGTTTGTGTCAACAGATGACAGATAAAACCACCACAAGCCTTTTAAAATATGATAAAATTGGACGAACAGTGAACTTCTGAAGTCATATTATCAGAATTTTTATGTAATTGTGAAAATAATCAACAGTATCAGAACGATGTAGGACAAGTTCATGAACTTTCAGGTGAATAGAATTTTTTTTTCTTTTCTTCAATCAATCGTACATCCTGTTATTAACAATCTAGTTCATTGCAAACTTTGATTTATTCATCTAGGAAGTGAAATAATACGGTGTAGGACGAAAAATTGGCTAATTGAATTGTTCTGCTTATTTTTTGTTTTGTTTTACTGATAATCCTGTTGTAATTCCACAATAAAATTAGCTAACAGCCTGTAGATTCGAGTTGTAAGAATTAGTTGGCGGGCTGTAAATAATGTGAAAGGCCCGACATAATAGACCAGAAGTCGTTAACGTACTCAAAGTTTAGAAAAGTGAACGTGTAGATGAGATAAGGTTTTAATTTGAAAACCGTCTCCAGGGAAAGTCTCTGCGGGCTTTATCTTCTGTCCTTTTCCAGGTTGTCGCCTGCTTTTCCGTCCTCGTCGCTTTAGTCGTAGCGCAGGACTTTGACTTTTTCGGCGGTTACCAGTCGTTCAACGCCGCCCCCAGGGACCCGAGGCAAAACAGAGGTAATTCACGTCGGTTTTTGATTTTTTTCCTTGTTCTCATAATCTTTTTTTTCTGTTTTGCAAGTAGGACCTGTGACTTTCCCCAGCGGGGCACCCGCATCTCTTGAAACGAGCGGCGTCCGTGTCGGAGCTTCTGGATACGGATTCGTCCCCCCAGGCGCACGTGGAGGTAATTAAAAATAACAACTAATAACACATTTTTTCGTTTTTATATAACAGCAGAAGTTCAGTGGGGCTTGTAATAAAGAAAAGTCTTCCAGGCACGAAATCTAAACTCTTAACTTGCATTTGCCCTAGGTTGCCCTGTTATGATTATGTGACAATTATGATTCTTATAAACTTTTTTTCTTAGATTAAAGAGGCCTAAGAAATAATGTAATAATTAGCTTGACATTATTAATATTGCGTTTAATTTTTAAACATCAAGTTTTCTGTAATTAATATCGATTTTTCTGAAATATCACTTTTATGATTATTTTACAGTGTACAAAACAAACGCACAACTTGTTTTTTGTTTTTTTCTAGTTTCGTTTAGGTGTTTACGAAATGTTGACTGATTTTTCTTTTCTGCTAGAAATACCTTACAATAAAAGATAAATAAATTATTTGAAAAAAAGTTGACACCATTAAATATCAATTTTAGCTAAGAAAAAAACCCATTGATGAATTAAGACTGTAAGTTCGGTCAAAAATAAAATCAATCCAGGCAAATCATTAAATTATCAATCACCCCTTTTGAATTGTATACGTTTGTTTATTTTTAAGTTATATATCGGACAAAATAGTTTTAAAACTATGTCTTAGAACATAGAAACAGTTTATTCGTCATTTCATTAATAATTTAAAGAAATGTTCTTTATACAATTTCTACGCATAAATGATTTTTTAAACCCCTTTTAATAATAATTAATGAATGTAACGTATGTAAATTGATGTTTTAAAAAAAACAGATCATAAATACATACAAATAAAAGACTAATATATAAACATATTTCAAGTTATCTTAAGGTTTAAAAACTTTATTACGTCGGGGGCTTAGAAAAATGGTTAATACTTTATTGCAATTGTTAAAACACTTAAAATTAGTACTCATCTTGGTAATTGTAAAACATATCAAAGGAAAAGGAAAGAAAGGGTCAGTATGAAAGTGCTGAATATAATAGTATAATAGTAATATAATAGTAGTAGTCGTTGAAATAAAATCAACGGCAGTAAATTTTGGAATGTCGATAGTAAGTGGTCATGGTCGATCGAGTCTTTTTGGCCAAGTGTGATCTTCACTGACATAATTTCTCTCGGCTCAAAAACAAAACAAAAACATGATGTTAGGAATATTTATTCTAAAGCGTAAATATATGTATGAAGTAGTCATTATTTATCACTAGGAAAACATGTTAAAAAGTAGGTCAATTAATAATTTTTGGGAAAAACTTGTCTTACATCGGTTAGATTTACGTAATTTATAATTTTTTTTTTAAATTATAAAAGATTTATTTCATATTTGTATATATAATATTTAATAATATTTGCACATTTGGTGACTGGATAATTTGCATTGATTTGACAAATATTATAATCAAAAAAATTTGTAAGAATGTTTATAATATAGAGTTTTACCAATATTTCATACAGCACTTAATCTTTCTATGGAGAAAATTTGTTTTCTAAAAAATAAATTATTTATATGATATATTTCTTAGTCAAATATGAAAATTAGATGATACTTTTATCGCGGTCGAAATATTTGTTTTTAATCTTTCCAGTTTAGTTGTTTTGGAAGGTTTAAAGATTTCAGTGTGTCACGGTCATAATTAGCGAGATTATCGCTGAAATCTCATTAACGGGGATTCACCCGTGGTTTTCCAATTTTCCTACCAAACAGGATTTAAAGTCATCTTTTTGAAACCAATTGTAATCTTAAAAAAAATATGTACGAATAACACGTTTTTTTGGTATTATCATTTAAAAACGGCACGAGACAATACGGAGAATTTTATGGTCGAGAGGCCTCGGTTTATATATTAATAAGCTATGTTTAGTGGTCAGGTATTTATTACGAAACTATTTCGGTTTACATCGCCTTGAATTGCCCAGAGATTGTCTTGTCCTTAGTTGAGAGACCGCTCCAATGATTGGGAAGAAATTCCTTACTCGTGCTGCGATCCCGAAGGGTTTCCAGCCAAACCCCTAAATAACTTGTTAATCCACATTTAAGAATTAAAAAAAATGAAATATTATTAACAATTAACCTCTTAAAATTATATGTAATCATTTAAATTTAAAGCAGCATAAAAAAATTCTCCGTCTGATTTTCTTCACAGAGATTTTGAAATATGGAGCACTCGTAAGAAGCCTTGAAAAATTATTTTCCCGTTTATTTGGAAAGTCATTTGTAAAAATATCAAGCAGAAATGGTGATTATATAACAATTTATAAGATTGGGAAATACTTTATTTTTTACTCATTCCTAACAGATGAATTTCCGAAAAGCCCCTCACTATATTTCATTTAGCAACCGATGATCAATTTTAATAATGGGTCTAGGTTTGGTAAACAAAAGTTTACAAAAATACTTCCACTGCAACTGTAAAGTACTAAGGTTCGTCTTATTTAAATGGTTTATTAACTTTTTCCTTCGGTTGAACAATTTCAGCAATGGTTAAAACAATTATTGAACGTAGATATATTTGTTACTAATTTCAATAACAAAAATCATGATATACTAATTTTATTTTTTGTTATTTAAATCATTATTTTGATTCTTATTTGTAGATGCAGGGCCTTTCCTAGACGATTTTTGATTAATTTATAAATAATTCTTTTGAAATTTATAGTATCAAGGTCGATCAATATAACTCAAGAATTTGCCCAGTTACCATAGCCTTTTTCAGGTCCATAGCCATCAACAGGCCAGTTGCGCCTGTTGATTTTTTTCCTCAATGGGCTGTTTTAGCAGTCTTTTTGCATGCATCATGCCTGGTTTACTCTCCCAGTATTTGTTGTGTTAGTCACCCAAGATCCAATTCTTTTCTATTGTGGTTTATTTTATGCCACAAGACTGATTTGTGATTATGTGTTGTTCTGAGGCTTCCTATGTAGCAAATATTTTAGCCTCATTACCTGAAAACCCCTCGTGAACTGGAATCCCATCTTAACGGCTATTTGTAGGTCACAGTTTTTTGAAGGCATTTAGGTTTTTTTGAGTTCATCTCGTAGGCTTGAAGTGCTTTTTTTAGAGTTGCCTGACTATCTGACAGTTGTACCCTTGAGAGGTTTGTTATTTATTTCGTGTGCGCGTTTTATATGAGCAGTTCGGTTTGAAAGATGGTTGTGGTAGGGCAGAGGGCAATTTAAACCATTGTAAAAACAGTCATTATTTCAATAACGCAGTTTTGTGGTCTAGTTGTCCACTGAGGATCGTAAAAATGCTCCTTTTCCAGTTTGATCAGAAATTTGCTTTTAATTACAATATCGATCCAACAGAGTTGAGCCTGCCGAACAGATTTATTTTTAAATCATTTGGTTTTTTTGTGTGTTAAATTGAACCGACCACAACAATGTTTTTTGTGGTTCTTAATTTATTTCCCGCCCGAGGTCGTGTCCAAGCAATCGTAAAATTTTGTCCAATGTGCTTAAACAAGTCAACAATCCATAAAATAAATAAAACAAAAAAACAACAAACCCACAATTTAGATTTTTAAATAAAAACTTAAAACCAACCAATATTTTGTAATTATATTTATAATCTGCATACATTTTCGTGCTCTCTAATTAAACCGGAGAAATTGCTTTATTTATTTTTTTAAATATTGAATATTTGAAATTTAACCAATTGAATGAATGGTGGTGAAATGTTGATATCAAACAAACTTTTGTTGAGTACGCTGAAATATTTCCAGTTTTTAGAAAGAAATGCGTAAAATAAGATTGTTAAAATGCTTAAATGAACAAATATATATTATACTCTCATAAAAATGTAATGTATAATATTAATTCTACATTCAATTAATTAAGGTTTTTAGTTGAGATAAAAAGTCAGTGTCACGAGCGGGATTCGAACCCAAGACCTTCGGCTTGATACGCCGCCGGGAATTAATTCTAGATTAAAAAAATTAGGTGTAATGTGAATTTGAAAGAAAGAAAAGCCTCCAAATTCTTCGTCAAACATTCGAGATATATCTTCTTCATCAGGACTTTGAAATTATTTCTAATGATTTTCTTAGTCAACAAAAATAAATATTTTCTTTTATTATTTGAAATTATGACTTCAACCATAATCAATTTATGGTTTTTTTTAACTTAGTGGGCGAGATGTACCATCGTTCCATTTTTACAATTTCGATCAAGTAAATAATTTGAAATAGTTGCGAAGTCCTAGTGAAGGTGTTATATATTTCTAGAAAGCTTGAGGAAGGAACTGAATATTCTTCTTTATTTCCAATTTGCCATATCCCTGATAGTATATATAAAATTATAATATTAAGGTTAATATCAATCAATCAAAATATTATATTAAATCTACTATTTAAGTATAATAACGTATTATTTTTTGCACTACATAACATGTACATTTTTATTACCTTTACTTTTTGAAACATTTTTGGAGATTTTATTTACAAGTTAACGTAAATTTGCGATTAAAGTTTACTTAAATATAATGAGTAAAAAGATAGAAAGGTATATTGATTAAATATGGGGAAAATTATTTATTTATTAAACCTCAGTTACGAAGGAATTAAAAAATACACTGAGAAAAAAATCGTCCTATTTTCTAAGTTATTTATCTGTCGGAAAACCATAATGAATTAATCATTTCAAAATAAAGTAAAAAAAGAAATTACTCTAACAAAATCCAACAAGTTTAATTGTAACTATGTAGAAAGTATTGATGTTAATGCGGTTTATTAACAATTTATTTTTAAAATATCAACTCAGTGCGTTCGCATAATTTTCAAAACAGCACACACACATACAAAAAATGGCCAATATATGACCAAAATATTTATGCAAAAAATTGTATCATAATACTATCAAAATATTTTATTTCATAGTATATATTAGGATACAACAAACATTCAAATTTGTATTTAATGATTTAGTTGAAAAGAAATGTAAATTGATTATACATTGATTATTCAGAAATCGTGAGATGCGGTCTGGTGTGATGTAGGTTTTCAGAAAACCATTTTCTTTATCGTGCCAATGTTTCGATCTTTATTGAGATCATCTTCAGAGCTAGGGATTTACATTGTTTAAATTTAACAAATACATGTAGGATGTGGAAAAAAGAGAATTTATACAATGTAAAAAATATTTTTTATATTCAAAGTACTACTACTGATTATACATTATTATTTATTTAATTATTTTTAAGGTAAACGCCGTTTAAACCGCAGTTCACCCTCGTGTAGTTGTTAAGGACAACCCACAAAAACGAAAACGAGTCCGGTTTAGAATTTTCTTTTTCCAATTATTTGCAATTCTGTCGAAAATCACTCGTAGCTAATAGTTTCGATTATTTCGTTCAAATTAATTTTAAACTGAGGCTGGAAGAATGGATTCGTTCAGAATATAATCTCAAGTATATATATGCATTGATTCAGAAGAGATGTAACTTATGTAATTTATTATTTTTAAATGTGTGGTGATTAGTGACCGATAATCGATAATTATTCAGAAATCGTGAGATGCGGTCTGGTGTGATGCAAATACATTTAGGATGTGAAAAAGTGAATTTATTTTGCATTGTATAAATTCACTTTTCCAAAATAAATTCACTTTTTCACATCCTACATGTATTTGTTAAATGTAAAAAATGTTTGTAAATCCCAGGCCCTGAAGATGATCTCAATAAAGATCGAAACGTTGGCACGATAAAGAAAATGTTTTTCTGAAACCTACATCACACCAGACCGCATCTCACGATTTCTGAATAATTATTTTTAAGATAAATATAACGCGTTGTTAAAGGGACGCAGAAGAGTCGTGCTTGTACTTTGATTTTTCAACAGATTTTTAAATATTAATAAATATTATCCATTTTTTCTCGGCCAAATCGATTAAAAATAAAGGAAATTGGAATGGCTACGCAACTTTCTTTTTCGTTGCATTTGCGTTTCAAATCCTAGATTCAAAAGGCATGACGGCGGATCCCGTGTGTGTTAACCCCTCGGAAAAGGAAAGTGAATTACTCGAGCCGTAGACTCTTAAGGACGTCGTTTTAACCTCGAGTTTTCCGTTTCGTGAAATTTCCCAAAACCGATTTTCTGAACGGACGACCGGCGGAATAATGAATATTAACAGTGCTTAACACTCGAATGGAGACGGACCTTGGAGGGAGAAAAAATCGGCTGGCTCTCCCTTCGCCTAACTTCCTTTACGCTTAATGGACCCTCGCCAACTCCATCCGTCAGTCAAATTCCAGAAATTGACTTATCTAATAGACTCGAACCCAATTGTGTTGTCTTCAATAACCATTAGAATTCCAACTATGCAGGAACTTTGATTAGCAAGTTGGGTATTGGTTAAAACGGGTTTAATTAGATTATATTAAATGGATGCTTTCAGATTATTAATACTACCCTCACTAAGCTTCTATATTCTACTCTAATTTAAAATAATATTTATTTCAAAATAAATCGTAATTTTTTCCTTTTTGTACAGTTTCCTTGTAAGAAACTGATCTTATTTTATTGGACAGATTTGATAATGAATAATTATGTGCTTTTTAGGTATCGGCCCACACGGAGCAGGACCCAATGTTTTCAGCGGCTTCCACTTCTGGTAGATCATCATTTCGCAAATGTCTGTGATGCCATTTCAATCACATCTCATCTCTACCTCCCTCTTGTTTCATCGACCGCATCTACAACAACATTTTACTATAAACTGTCCAGCTTGCTTGACATTTAGTTTGACTAGGCTTTCAAGAAAAAAAAAGAAAAAAAGAAAAAAATTGTATGTACGAAACTTGAGTGAGGCGGCACGATACTGTTTGTTCCCATGAAGAATGAAGCGTGATTTTTGCTTCAGCTTATGTTGAGCTGACTAGTCATATTTATAAAAAAAAAACGTGTTCCATGTATATGAATAGCCATTCCAGTATTCACTCAAAACATTTTGAAATTATTTATTCAAAATTTCTTTTTGTCGCGTTTAATTTCTTTTCTCAACTTTTGTTGTAACTTATTTATCTAATTGTAATTTATTTACTGCATGTGTTTAAATGTGAAGAATGTGGAAATTCCACTCAATGGAATTGTAATTTGTCTTTTGTGCTCAAATGTTTGAACTAATTGTTTTAATGTTATTCATAAAATTGTAAAAATAACTTGTTTTCAGAATCTAGTCTGAAGAAATCAAGTTAAAAATAAAAATTACATATATAAAAAAATTGCTTAATTTTTATTCATACAAACCTGTATTGCCATTATTGGGGGGAAAGTTCAAGTACGAGGATCAAACAAAAAAAACCTAGGTTCAGATAAACAATAATAAATTCACAAAGCGTATTTTTTTATTGTTTCAAAAAAGAAATTGTTCACTGCTTGCCTTTTGTTTCAATAATTGTTTTTACAACTTCAAGAAGGCCAACATTATGCAACTCATTAAGCAAAAAGATTTTTTCCAAAACAAAATCACAATTGCTCCCTTTATTTAAAACTATTAAATATAGTATTAGTAACTTTTATAGTACATAAAAATATAATATTAATAATTTAACCGATTGCAATTTACAGTTACACATTGTTTTTTTAACTTTTTTTATAGCACAATACTTACACATATTTTTTATGACGATTGATTAACATTATATATGGTGTATTCAGATCAACAATAAATCAACAAGCTAATCCAGAAAGTCACATAGATCAAACCTTCGTTAACAACTTAACATTAACATTTCCAACAAGAGACAAGACACATTGTAAACTATTAAAAATCCTATAGGTACAAACAAAATGTGATAACTTTTTAATGGTTATAGCACATTCATTTAACATCAAATTAGGCCTATTTGGATATTAGACAATGTCACAAACAGTGTCTTTGTAACATTTTACTGCACACAATAATTATGAAACACTACAAGTATAACATCTATCAAATTTAGTTTGCAGCTATGATTTTCTTGTCTAAAACGAGCTAACAAACCCTGTACTATAAATAGACCACTTTTTTCTCACAATACTGTTCTGTCTGTTCAAGATTAAAATTAAAAATTCAATGAAAATATAAAATTTTAAAAAATCTAAGACATTTATTGTAATGTATATAACAAGCTGTTTAATGTTTTTTAATTTATAAACACCACATAAATACTAATTTAAGCTTTGCAATTTACATTACATCAATTAGCAAACTTAAAATTTCCAATTTATTGGTGTCATTTTTCTTTTAAAGCTCATTGTTAGATGTAAAACAATTATTGATTTTTGTCCAAAAATAGCAGTAAATTGTCCAAAATACAGCAAATTTTTTTTCCTGATAGAATTATCCTGACAATGCACCATTGATATTTTGTGAATAGCAATGCCTACAGTAATTATGTTCTAAACAAGCACCAATACTACACAATTGGTTTTATGGACAATTTTTTTGTAAAGCAGCTACAAGTACTCCCAGGTGGAGATGATTTTATAAATTCAACTTATCCTCTATGTTTTTATTTATTCAGAACTACATTGGAAACCAAAATGTAAAGAGTATGATAAAATGTATTCAGCTATGTCATACCATAATAAAAACATCATTTTAAAAGTCAAAATAAAAGAGAATGTAATAAATTGTTAAGTTTGTAGTAAAGTTTAAAAATTATTTGCAAAAAAATTATGTTATATGATAAATAATAATCACTTAGAATTTCTTGGACGTACCACTTTACCATTAATATTGATTTAGAATGAAATATGGGTTGTAGAAGAAGAAGAACAGAAAAAAAAATGTCCAAGCATTTCTGCATAACTTCAACATAACTTCAATAATACTGGTCTGTACTAGTTTGATTAAAAACACCCTATTAAAATCTCGCCACCACTACAAAGCACAGAAATACTGGTCTACCATACATTTAAGCATTAAGCTAAGAAGCGTTTAATTATTTGAAAGTGTAAAATAACAATCTTATACATATTTAATTAACTGCACTGCTTTAGATAATCTGCGGTTAGTAAATTCAAGTTTTAGAATAATGGCATACCTTGTAGAATTCAAAATACAACCTTTTTCTTAAAAAAGATTAAGTTTTCAGTTAAATTTTTAGTAGATTTTATATAGAAATAGTTTTCTTTTATTCATTTTTTGTACATAAAAATATTACAATCATTATATTTTAGTTTTAACAAAGATAGCGGGGGTTTTATTTGCTTTGATTTTTCATTGCATACAAAGACATATCACACTGTGTGAACATTTTATGAATTTTACAATAGAGACACACTTCACTGTTGGATAAAAAATTATGAAACATTTCAAAGACAAACTCCAAAAACCAACCACACTTTTTTTTCTGTTAATATGTAATTTACGACATGCTTTAAAAAGAGTCCAAATATCAAGGGTTGCACTATCGTTAACCTGTGTTATTAAAATCTCAGTAAATAAATCAACTAATGATAATACCAAAACACATACAAATGTTTATAATTGCAAACATAAAACCAAGAGAGAACTAGGAAGAACTTCCAAGTTATGAATATGAAGTGTGAAAATGAATTATGCATCTTTCATGGTCTTGCATCAGTAGCCACATGATTTATCCTTAAAAGAGAAGGTGGCAATGTTAATATCATTAATATTCCTCATTGGAATATTTAATGATCTAATCACTCATGTATTTAATATGTTCATCATTCATGCTTTCCAGTAATATTTAATTTTTAAATCTTATGTGACACGATCAACTTCATTGTTTCATATGACCAACGCAGTTAACCACATTATATTTGATCTGGAAAAATAATAAAAATAAATCAATCAAACGAATAAAACTTGTACGTATTTTTGGTTTAAAAAAAACCACAATTTCAACCATAATTTAAAAAAAAATGTAAGAAATTATTTTTGTTAATTATAAACACACAAGCAATATAAATATAAATTTGAAGAATATTTAATAGTTTGTGATATGTCAACAAGTTAAAACTTTTTTTTACTAATATTTAATATTTGTTTTGACTTTTAACTTTTATGATAATGAAATAAGCTTACTGTTATTAATTTTTTACATGCATTTATCAAAATACCATAAAAAATAATGTAGTTTTGTTTATAAAAGTCATTGGACAATGGCAGTGCTGTTACATTTACAATACATTCACAACAAAATTTTATATATTATTTATGTATTTAGATTAAATGTCAAAGTGCCACCCAATTTTAAATTTTAAAGTAGCACTTTATATATAAATAAAAGCATTAAATTTAGAAAAGACATTTTCTGTTTGTACATTTTTTGTATATAAATTTGGCATACATGACGTTTCTGTGTTTAAATTAAAAAAATAATCTTAATAACCTTTAATATCTAAAATGGAACTTGAAATAAGTCAATTTTGTGAGTTCTTCATATCCGTACTCGAAAAAGTTAATTCAAAATGAATCTACATACCATGACAATTGAATGAGATATGTGAATTTTGGTCCATATAATAATGTGGTTTTGTGTTGGTTATAAAATTTGATTTTTAAATAATGCTTTAATTTTAATAATTTCAAACCTTTTTTTAAATTTATTTACACTTTACAAGAAATAATTAAGTGAAGCTAGCAAAGCACTATCCATTTTAAACTACTAATAGGACTTACTACTTGTATTAATAATAATAAGTAATTATAATAAAAAGGACAAATAAAAATTCTTTCTTTTTTCTCTTCTCTTCTGCTTTGGTTCTTTTATTTATTACATTTTATAAAAAAAAATTCTTTTCTTTAAAGAACTATCAATCAGTATATTGTTATATTTTTATTTACAAATGTAAATGTAAAGTATTGACCACGAGACTCATGAGGGGGCTGGAAAAAAATTAGGACCTGAAAATGCATTTGCAAATAAAAATAAAGTTGACTCTTGATAAATCGAACCTTAATGACTCGAATTTCTTGAATTGACTCAAATTTTTTAAAATCCCCCTCATTTTCCTACACATCTCTATAAATCTCTATATTAAAAAAGAAACCTGGATTAGACAATTTTTTTCTTGGTTCCTACTTGTTTGCCTGTTTGTAAATTTGTGTACAAAAAACCTGTGACTACCATCAATGTTATGGATCGAGGAGAAATGCATGATTATTAAGGCGGTAGATTAAAAAAGAGCACCATATCCACAATTTAAAAAATAGGATTAAGTATGACACGATGAGTGGATTAGCAGGTCAATACCTGGAACCTCAATTAGTTGAAAAACTCGATAATTCAAAATTTTTAATTTCCTCCTGAGATTCGAGCTAACGAGACTCGACTAATAACAAACTGGTTGATAGTTCATTTCAAAATAATTACAAATAAAATCTTTAAAAATCAAAATTTTGCAGTTTACCAGATAAAAACCCACAAAATTGTCTTCTTCCTATTATTTGTTTACACTTGGTGAAAGTGAACTTTAAAATCTAAGTTAATTTTAACTTTAATTTTGTAAACCACCCATTTTACTCACACAAAAAAATTATTCAAGTTTTAAATCCACTTTCTGAACTTCATAATTATCAAGTTTTACCAAACTTGTAACAAATGCGTTAGCACAATATTTAAATGACCTCATACCGTTTCTTCTCACTGAAACAAATCTTTATAAAACAATCAATCTATTAATAATTGAGTTAACATTTTCAAACTAGAACTATTTAAAATTAAAAAAATTAATTTTATGTTAGAAAAACCATCAAATTTTCTCAATTATGAGCAATTTTGAGTTTTTCTAAAAACAATAAAAACAGTTTGTCAACTTTGAGTGTGAATGAATATAACAATAAATTATATTTTGTTTTATTGCATGTTTTCTTTTGTAGTTAATTAATTAGCCTTTGTTTTATTTAATAGTTTAAAAATAAGTTGTATTTTTATTTGTTTGAATTGATTTGTTTAATGACATCTTTAATATTGTAAGTTATCTTCTAGCTGGATGTACCATTAACATGAAATACAAATTAAAAAGGAGTCTACAGGTAAATTAAAATTCAGACCTCAGTACATTTGGAATTCTCCTACAGATGCTTTATCATTGTTAATCAGTGACAAAATGTTTTATTAATTACATTCCATTTAAATATCCTACTAATTACCTGCGCTAATTAAATTACATTTCAATGTACAAATTGTTTCAGTGAAAATGTTTAAAAACCAAAACGACCATGTTTCACCTAGACGTTTGCATTAGCAAAACCCTTTCATTGTAAACATTAAATTATCTAATAAACAGACATAACAATATCACATTTTACCATTATTTAAAAGAGTTCAACATATTCAACAAGTAATATTTTTGATCATCACAGTGATTCGAAGAATTAATGCATATAAATAATTTCAAAACGTTTAAAAATCAGCCATTTAAGGTAGATTACAAGAGTTTGAAAGTTTTAGAGCAAGGCAAAATATCGTTTGAACAATATACCACTCCAGATTTACCCTTTAATCAACAATATTAGCAAGCAATTTCCTTTATTAAACAATAAACCACATAAATTGGTTTGATTTTTTTTTTATACTGTAATAGTAAAATTTATGCATTGTGCCTATATAAAAATGAGTTTTTTTGTGGATGTGCATACCAATCTTTTTCTTTAATCAAACTTTCAGTCTTGTTCAACATTTGAGCTACAAGAAAATAATTAAACAAAAAATAATTAAAAATTTATAAATCCTGTGCAAAATGTTACTGATTTTTCTTTTTTTTTGTGTCATGTGGGTTTTCTTTGGATTTTCCAAAAAACAATATTTTAATCTCACTGATTTTATATAGTCACAACTTTTCACTTTTCAACTGTTATAAAATGTTTTCTTTTAAGATTAATCAATTAACAACTTCTAGGTTTTTTTTAATACTGTTGTTCGGAAACATTTCAAATATGTACAAAAATAATTTACATCTGTGGTGATTTTTTTAATGATATTTTAAGTTAAAATTGTATTGTGCAAAAAATTATTATAAATTGATAAAATAAGTGGCTTATAATCATTAAAGGTAATATTTGGAATATTTTAAAATCATACAAAATTGTTAAAATATGTATATATATAATCCTTTTTGTATTATTATTATTATTATTATTATTATTTTGTAAATGCAATAATATTATATAATTTTTTGCATACTTTATTAAGACATATGATATTAGACAATTCAATATTGAATTATAAAATTTTCACCAGATAATTGGTGTTCAACAGTAGCTTAAATACTATTTTAATAATGCTGATAAAAATATTTGATTGTACACAGTATTGTACCAATCGGTACACATTTTATTTCTTTTTCTTTTTTATTTAATCCAATACACTAATATCTTAGTTTACAAATTTCCACAAGTGTAAGAATGTGGAACAAATTATTAATAGAACAATCTTTGGCAATTTCAAGTCATCCCCCTTTTTTCTTCTGGTTATCATTCTAGACTGATAGTCAAACTAAACTGGATCAACCTCGTGGCACACTTCCATGTAATCTGGGTTATGCATGATGTCTTTTATTAAATCTTTTAAAATTGTATAACGGGGAAAGATTGGATAAACCTTTGAGTTAACGTATTCTGTCTGAAATTGAAAAATACGATTACAGATTAAATTGAATGTATAAATTACAATTAATTCTTGGCTTGAATCAATTTGATTAAATTACCTTTAGTTCCCTTATGATGTTTCTAAGACCGGAATATTTTTTCAACAGACGGTACAAGTCATTGGTCAATTGTGTATTTTCTGCTTCTATCTGTGCTGTAGCCATGTCTACGGAAATATAAAAAAATATATTTAAGTCTTGTTAATTTTTGACAATTATAAAGCTTCATTTTTTCAACATCACCATGAGAAAAATTTTGAATTATAAATGAAAGTAGCTTACAGCTTAATCGTTCAAGCAATTCTTTTTTCTTTTCAGCTTCTTCAGCAAGTTTCGCTGCTGTCTTCACGCCTTCTCCAGACTTTTGAGTTTTTTCCATTATTGCGCAGGCTCGGAGGACGAAAGCAGGCACTGTCTCTTGTTTTTCTTGTTTTGGAATGTCGACCAGGGTCCAGTACTGGGTTTCTAACCGTATGACCTCCTGAAAAGGAATCCAGAGTTTTAACCACTTTCGTGGATTACAGTACTTCAAAAGGTCACCTTGATCATAGCTTTAAGCATTGTGTATCGTTGGAACACATTACGAACACTTTTGCTGTCGGTGTACTTTGACATAAGGCCTACGAGAGCTTTTTTTGCCGTGTCATAAGACTCTTCAAGACGAAATCTGACCGCACGCAGCCTCTCATTTGTTTCAATCACTTCCTCCTTTGAAAGCCCGCCTATAATATTAAAAAAATTAATTAATTAATTAAATTAATTAATTAATTAAAAATTAATTAAAAAATTAAAAATATAGTTCAGTTTGGGTCATTTGACCCATTTGAACTGCAATAAAATTAATAAAAGTCTGTTTCATCGACTAGCAAATCATATTTTACCACATGGCCGATAAACCAGACCAATTTTTCTTCTTCGTCATAGGGAAACATAGGCGAGGCACTAGATTGGTTTGCATGTGTTTGTTACTAAGTTTATTTCATTGGCATTCACCTTGGTACTTTGTAATCATTTAATGCATTCCTTAGATTCATTTTGGAAGAGGATTTAATTCAATTAGGAGATTTGATAAGATCAAGGCAAAGGAATAATGCTTTGATTATAATTTTTGCATTTGTCAAACTGCAGATGATCGAAAGAAAATGAAAGAAGATCTGCAACTACTAATAAACATTTAATCTAGTTTGAACTGTACTTTTGGCTTATAACATAACAAAAAAAAGATACTTTTTATTATTTCCAAAAAGAAAAATGCTCTTGAAGATTTCCTTATTAGTATAAAAAAGGTACTTTCTTATTTATTCTAATCTTTCAGATAAAACAGTTTGAATGAATTTAAGAATGACAGGTTAAAGCATTAATAGGACATGAAAACACTAGGGATGGGTAAGAAATTTTTTGGTTACAATTAAATCTCAGTACTTTTGGAGTAAATATGTGCTCATTATTAAATACAACTTATAAAAAGAAACAATGTGTAAATAATGTAATGACTTTTACTCACTAGCAGTTCCTTCATCTTTAACATCTTGCACGATCCGTCTCACACTCTGCGTAAATTTGCCCACCAGATTTGTACTAGCTGAAAAAAACAAACAAAAAGGTCATGGTGTCGTTTTGAATCCAATTTCTTAAACCTGTGAAAGTAAGTTAATTTTTTTCATACAGGAGACTTAACCACAATTACATCATTTTTTTTCCAATTCTCAATTAAAATGACATTAATGACATGTATCTGTATAGTTCAAATTTCAAGAAAAATGTGGACCAGAAAAAAAGGTTTTATGAAGATAAATAAGTTTAATAAGTTAAGTTTAAGAGTGCTAATTACAAACCCATTTTAATCTTGATTGCAATTCAAATTTCAATTTTTCAGCGGTATTCTCACCAAGTCTAAGTTCAACTTTTGACCTTGACCAGAGACCGGATTTTTATGCAGTAAAAATTGCCAAAATTTGCCATAAAATATGCTGTTGAAAGCCCTGAAATATGCAATAATATGCCGTATTAATACGTTAAAAGTTAAGAAGTTTTTTTTAACGAGGGTATTTCAACAGAATCTTCTCTTACCGTCGGTGCGGCCTATTTTTTTTTTTTTTTTAAACCAACTTTTCGTCTTATTTTTTTTTAATAGATTTTTGTTTATATTCCCCCGAAAACCAATATAATATTTCAAATATTTTGCGCGATAAAAGCGATTTTACGTAAAAATCCTTCAAATATACGATATTGTTCAAATATGCAATTTTATGCGATATTCATCAAATATGCAAAAATATTCTCTATAAAATTTTATCTACAGCTTCCAAGATACACGATTCGGATTGATAATTGATTTTATCGGTCTTATGTGGTGGCAAAAAAATACGCAACTGCATAAAAATCCAGAACCCATGACCAATGATCCTTTTTAAAATAGTTCCTACTCACAGTAAGTTACAAAAATTTGAAGTTAAAAAATGTAAAATTGAACATGGAGGTAAATGCATTAACAATATAATAGATTTTGATCTACCTCCCATTTTAAATATGTACATAAATAATACGACTGGTATCTATTTATTTTTTATCTAAGGTCTTGGTCGAGAGAAAAAGTATAACTAATTAAAATAATAATATGGCCAATTATGACAGCTACATATATATTTAATATATCTTATTACTTGTTTTCTTTGATAGTAAAGACCTCTCGGTATATTTTTTATGTCCTGTCAAATAATGAGGCCAGGTCATCCTTATTAAAACTTGTTTGAAACAAACAACAATGCAATGTATTCTGCTTAATAAAGTTAATTTATAAACCTTTTTATGTAAGGCAGGGGTGCTCAAACGGTCGATCGCGATACAAGTAGGTAGGTAACTAAACTACAAAAATGTATTACGTAATAAAATAACACTGCTTGCGGCAAAAGGTGGCTTTATCAAAGGAACGCGCGGCACTTGTCAAAGAAAAGCCGCGTTGTTTCTAGACTAGTAGACAGTACAGTCTAGTCTAGAAACAACGAGAGACAGTACAGTCTAGTTTCGGGCGGCGCGTTTGACGGGAACATTCGAGACTTTCGTTCACTCAGTGGTTACGTACCATCTTATGAAAAGTATGCTGAGGACATGCAGTGCCACGCTTCAACATCCAAAGCCACTCCTTAGTTAAGTTTAACACCATATGTAACTCTTTTGATTTGTAACAACCAATAAACTCGCAATTTTGAATAACTATGAGTTTTTTCATTGATATTGTAGAGAAGAACCTAACTAAACCTAACCCAAACCTTGACTAAAATAATGTACCTATATTGTGCAGAAAGCTAATATCTATATATGCTACGGTACACCCTACCTAGGTAGGTAGGGTGTATCGTGTATGTACGACAACCCTGCATCACATACACTTGCAGCCTCTCAGAGTCGATCGTAAGTAGTCTAAAAATATTGAGGTAGATCGCCAGCAGTTCAAGTTTGTGCACCCCTGATGTAAGGTATTGGTTGAGATGAAAAAGTTAGTGTCACAAGCGGGATTCGAACCTACGACCTTTGGCTCAATACTGCTGCTCTACCACTTGACTTATCGTGAAGTCAAAGTCATCGCAGAGGCGTATTGAGACGAAGGTCGTGGGTTCGAATCCCGCTCCTGACACTAACTTTTTCATCTCAACCAATACCTTCCATAAAAAGATTAATTAATTGAAAGAAATTATTTGGTCAATCGGACCACGAACTCTAATGGATTTAATGTATAAAAACAAATATGCAAACAAACTAATCGTGGTATTATTTCTAGCTTGCAACAAGGTTTGCAGTAAACGCTTGTGCGTAAAATCAAAGAAGGATCAAACAGCGCTTTAATCAGCAGTACTCGGATCTTTTTAATCCCTCGCCCTCATTCGTCGCAAGTGCCGGTCTATGTTTAAAACTCTGCGATTTCAAATGCCTATTTGTCTAACGAAACACGTCGGAAAAGGGAGGTTTTTTTGACATGGTGATGAATACATTTCGCCACGGGAAAATGGTAAAATGGGAACTATCTCGGCGGCTTCTTTGTATCTCCGATTACAGCAGGTGTGCTGTGAAGTTATGCGGGTTTAGCCTGACCTATGACAGGCGGATCAAGCTATGAGAAAGTACCGCTTTATATCTCAATTTCTTGCAAATAGCGCAAGGCACATGCTAACAGATTGTTTAAAATAAAATTCATTTTTTAAATAAGTATTTATTCCTTAAATTACTGTTAGGCTTATTTTAAAAATACATATTGTTCAAAACATTTAGCCTTGCCACATGTGGAGGTTAGTTAACTTAAAAACACATTTAAAACATATACGTTCGAATATATACTAATCAATGTTTGCTGGCACGCAGGATATTCCATAGAGACCCCTCAATCTCATTCACGCTAATAAATACGTTCATACAAAACCTAACCTTTGTAAATATTTCAGGAGGTTATTCTTAAGTCAAATAAGGAAAAAAGCCCCTATTGACCACAGTCTGATTCTTAATTGTATTCGAGATATTTCACTTTTCGTGTTTCTTTATTCTGTATTCTGCGTCAAACACATACTAAAACACACACACACACACACACACACACACACACACACACACTAATAAATACGTTTATAAAAAACGAAACCTTTTGCACTGTTAACAGTTATTTACTTTTTTTAACGAGGGTATTTAACTACGAGGTTATACGAACCCTCAGGGTATCAATGCTTTTGAAAAAAAGCCCATTTGTAAGTATGTCGGGTTCGAATGAAGGGCCGCTGGATTCGAACCCTGGACCTTTACCTTACAGTGATGAGAGTCAACGCCTAAACCGTTGCGGCCACCGACGCCTCTACTTTAAACAGTCAAAAAGAATTGACGATTAATCGGGGTATTTGATTTTAGTGCCTCACAATTATTCACTCTATGGGCATACAACTTTTCTAAACATTTAATTACCATCTATACAAATTAGATACAATGTGTAATGAGGTACGATGCGAGTTCTTCGTTTACAAATATCCAGAATGGAGTCAGGAACTATCGTTATCAACCATCTGAATAGTGTGTGGTGATTAGTGACCGTTAATCGATAATTATTCAGAAATCGTGAGATGCGGTCTGGTGTGATGTAGGTTTCAACAATGAGAAGAAACTCGCATCGGCTATCAACGAGAGAACTTTTTTGCTGAAATGCAGACAACACAAGGTCCTGAAGATACCTCAATAAAGATCGAAACGTTGGCACGATAAAGAAAATGTTTTTCTGAAACCTACACCACACCAGACCGCATCTCACGATTTCTGAATAATTATCGATTAATGGTCACTAATCACCACACATTTCTACACGAGAAGAACGAAGAACATGGGATTCTATGAACAAATTTCAACTAGATATGGACACGAAGCTAAAAGTATTCTGAAGGACATCGCCAACAATGAGAAGAAACTCACATAGGCTATCAACCAGTGAACTTTTTTGCTGAAATGCAGGCAACACAAGGCCCTGAAGATGATCTCAATAAAGATCGAAACGTTGGCACGATAAAGAAAATGTTTTTCTGAAACCTACGTCACACCAGACCGCATCTCACGATTTCTGAATAACATCTGAATAGTTTCATACTATTCGTAAGGAGGTCACGGGGCCATCTTCTCCGCTTCAGCCGCCTGACTGGGTTGTAGGAGTGGGTAATGTTGGACAAGCATCCGGATAATGGAGTAGGATGGAAGGATAGATTTTCGTAAAATATAGAAAATTTGTTTTGGGAAATAGGCTTATAACGAAGGGTATTTGGAGGTCATTGTGACCGTTACTGTTGAAAACGTAGTTGAGAACTAATTAAGGTTTTTAGTTGAGATAAAAAAAGTCAGTGTCCCGAGCGGGATTCGAACCCACGACCTTCGGCTTGATACACCGCTACTCTACTACTTGAGTGCTGCTCTCTCTTATGCTCGTGGTAGAGTAGCGGCGTATCAAGCCGAAGATCGTGGGTTCGAATCCCGCTCGTGACACTGACTTTTTTATCTCAACTAAAAACCTTAATTAATTGAATGATATTAATTGGTCAAGCGGACCACGAAAAATAGTGAATTTAGTAGTTGAGAACATTTTCTTTGGTGATTGATCAGCCTTCTCAGTTTAAATATACTTTTTTCTTTCCAAAAGGTAGAGGTAGAGCTCTACCGGCTATCCGTTATCCACACATGTACCTGTTCATATAATATAACGGTTTCCTGATGAAGGCGATATATTCTGCCGAAAGCTCGACAAGAAAATAAATGTTGATTCTGTCTTCCTGGCCTCATCCCCAATCTACCTTTTGAAAAGAAAAATTGTAGTTGAGAACGTTGATAATGGTTCTGAGGACTTTGGATATTTTATTTTTTTATTTTTATGGGAATGATCTTTGGATCGGAAGGACTTTATTCTTTGGAAATTGCAAGGTTTAGGGTACCCCAGAATTCTAATCCGTATATCCAAATCTGTTTCAATAAACTGACAGTTTGTTTTTTGTTCAAGATGTTCTTGATAATAATATGTATATTAGTTCGAAGGGGCTGTTTAATTCCTGTTTTTTAGTTAGTTTATGC